TAGAGTGGAAAGTTGTTGAAGTAATAATAGACATACCTCCCTAATTGATTGCAACCAATCCTAAATTCTCAGTCACTGAGGGCATGTCTACACAAGAGAGCTACATCAATTGCGTAACTTAAGTCGAAATAGCTTATTTTGACTTTTGGTGCTGTCTACACAGCAGAAAGTCTGAGAGAGAGCACTCTTCCTCCGACTTACCTTCATTTTACGAGGAGTAAGGGGACAGATAAGAAGACTTTCACCTAGACATTATTTTGACATTATATCAAAAGAACTGTTCATAACAGTGGTCCCCAACGTGGTGCCCGCGGGCGCCATGGCGCCCGCTGGGCCATTTATGGGAGCCCGTGGAGCAATCTGGGGTGGCCCTGCTGGGGGGGGCCCCAGCCCTGGGCGCATGGGCAGCCCCTGCCCGGGGTCACAGCACATGCCGGTGCCGGCCCCAGGGCGCACAGTGCCTGGGCAGCCCCTGCCTGGGGTCGCAGCACATGCCAGTGCCGGCCCCGGGCACACGGCACCTGTGCGGCCCCTGCCCGGAGTCGTGGCACATGCCGGTGCCGGCCCCGGGTGTGCAGCACCTGGGTGGCCCCTGACCGGGGTTGTGGTACATGTCGGTGCCGGCCCTGGGCACGCGGCGCATGCTTGGCCCCGCCCCCAGGCCCGTGAGCGGCCCCGCCCCCAGACGTGCAGCACATGAGCGGCCCCACCCCCAGGCGCCCGGCATCCCCAAAATGATGGGGACCACTGATTTATAGCAAACTATGCTATTTATCAGTTATTCTGAAATAACACTGTCTTTCAGGGTACGTCTACACAGCAATCTACATTCATTCCTATATTTGCTTTTTACAACTAGCTCTCTGTAGAACTTTTCATGAGCGATGTACAGAGATATTTGGATAACTAAACTGTATTGTTAAATGTATTCACCTTAATTTGGGTTATTTCACAGCATGTACCACATGTATTTTATTACTCTTAAATCAAACTTTGTATTTTTAGATAATCTAAGAAGCATACCCATAAGTATAGTCACTTTTTCTTTAACTGTGTATTATATAATTTAACATTAGCTTTAATAAAATGTTTAAGTCTCCTCTTCAAGTTCTGTGTAAGCCTGGAAGCGTGACACTTTCACCCACAGAAGTTGGTCCAATAAAAAAATATTACCTCACTCACCTTACAGCTCTAATCCACAGCTAGGCAATAAGGCAGACAGAGGCCGTTTGCCAGGGTTAACCCTCGGTGAGCCGCTGACAGTTTGTTTATCAGTATATCCACAGGTACGGCTGCTTGCAGCTCCCGTTGGCCATGGATCATGGTTCCTGGCCAACAGGAGCTGCAAGAAGTGGCAGCCAGCATGTCCCTCCCACTGGCTGGGAATAGCAAACTGTGGCTACAGGGAGCTGCAGGGTGGCCATAAGGTGATGGTCAACATCAGAAAAATGTTTCGTGGCCCACCAGTGGATTACCTTGGTGAGCCAAGAGCCAAAGGTTGCCCACACCTGCACTAAAGCAGATTATCCACAAATCATCCACTTTTAGGAAATGGGGAATACACAATTTCCCTCGGCAGGTTGTTTCAGTGATTCATCCGCTCACTATTAAAAATACATGCCTTATTTCTAATTTGAATTTGTCAGGCTTTAACTTGCAGTCATTAATTCTTGTTATGCTCCTCTACTTTAGAGCCCTTTAGTACCTGGCATTTTCTCCCTGTGAAGGTATTTTATACATTGTAGTGCAGTTACCTCTTTATCGTCCTTTTGACAAGCTAAAGAGTTTGAGTTCTTTAATCCCACATTGATTTCAATCTTAATTTTATATCTGGATTTTTTAAAAGACTTAGTTTAATCCTCAATAAAAAACTCAGTGTAGCTGGAAATGATTATATTGTTGTTTTCATATCAAGGCTTATGTAACTCAATCATCATAATTAGTAGTCTGAGGGAAACATGATAAACTGTAATAATTAAGATTTATGCATCCATTTCCAATTTCTTTTTCTGGATAACATCAATAGTAGTCACAAGAGTGGTGAAATAGGATGAGAAAAGCAATACAGAATTTTAACTTCAAAGTGAGTAATTTTATTAACACGTGTGCAAACAGGCAATATACAAAACATTTAATTTAGATGAATAGTTTGTGTTTTCTGGTCTGATTCTCCTTCCCCATTTTTCTTCAGATCAAAAAATTCTATGCAACCAAAGTCATCACACCAGGCTACAGAAATAAGGACAGCACTTCCAAACTGTGGAAGGTCTCCCATTATGGAAGCCTAATTTACGTTTTTTGCCAAATTATGCTATACTGTAATTTTGCTCAATTATTATTAATAAATCAGTTTCAACTAATAATACAAAAATAGGGATTTAGACAGTGCTCAAAAAGTTAATACACTTATTAGTCATCTCTTGAAGTAGGTCACAAGTACAGCAGTGAAAAGGAGTTTGATAATTTCATACTAATTACCAGGTGACATCCGTCTATACCACAAGCCCCTATAAACTGAACACCACACTTTGGCCTAGATTCTGAAAGGCATTTAAACACCTAACTCCCACTGATTCCAAGGATGAAGGGGTCAGCAAGGAGATCAAACAACTATTCAAATTATCCCTCGGCGTATCTCTGTGGCTTAATGAAAAATATTATTGTGATGTTTAAAAAAAATATCAGAGACTCACTTTTAAAGGGTAACACAGATAACGAGCCCTCTACATTATTTGAATGAACCATGCATCTTGCTGAAATCTGGCCACCAGCCACTGTAGCAGAATACCAAGTCAGCCCATATCTATTCAGCCAAAAAATGGTTTTTAAAAAAATAGATGTTTGAGTGAAAACTCCCAAAGACACAGAGGTCTCAAAGGCACATGTAGAACTTCATTATTTGTATCACCTGGAAGGCTTCTTGAGCTACCAGTAGATATCTGCTGGTACAATGACTTTCAATATCACAAAGATCTATACAAAGGAGGAGTGTAAAAATGTAATAACTGTTTAAAAATTTAACCATGTAACTGCTAAAAATCCTAGCAGTTACATGGTTACAAGCACTGCAGACTCCGCAGTACAAAGCTTATATATTCCCCCCCCCCCCCCCCCCTAAGCCCCAGCCACAGGGGCCGGGCTACTTCAATCAGACTGAAGCAGCCCCTCCCTGCTTCATGCCCAGGCCCACTGAGGACAGAGGTTGCTCTGGATGCCTGGAGCTGCCCCTGCCCACATCGGGTGGGGAGCTGCACCAGCCCCTACCAGTTAATCTTTCACATCCCTATTTTATGCTAGGGATGTGAGTAGTCGACTAACAAATAAGCCTAGGCTTATTGAATAGTCAAGTCGACTACTCGCATCCTGCCCCCCCCCCTTGCTGCCTCTGTATCAGATGCAGTTGGGGAAGAGGGGAACAGGAGCTGGTGTTGTGGGGGAGCTGGCTTAAAAGCTAGTTCCCCCCAGCACCGTCTCCGTGGTGCTGCCTCTTCTCCCCACACACACTACAGCCTCTTATCTAACGTCCCTTATCGAGTATTGAGTAATAAAAATTCTATTGACTACACAATTATAGAATTACCCACCTCTTAACATCCCTACTTTATACTGCAGAGCCCACAGTAAAGCCTCCCTGACAGTAGGTCCAGCAGCCCGGCTCCCTGAGAGCCAGTGTGTAACTGTAATGGAAACCAATAAGCTGATGCCTATTGGTTAACAGTTTAAATGGTTACATTTTTACATCCCTAATACAAAGCCCTCTTTCTTCAGGATTGCCTGGCTCCAAAGCAGCAATAATGTCAAAATATGGTAACCAAATCTGACTCTTCCTTGATGATTCAGGTAAACTGTTGCTATAACATGTTACATGAAGATCTGGACACTTTAGCAAGAAAGGTCTTCAAAGCTTAGTTGAGGTCTCATCAGTTTATGCACTAAGCAATATCACATTCAACTGCTGAGACATCCATGATGAACACTTCCTGTCCCAGTGTTTCCACCTCCTATACTCTTAACCTGCAAAGGTGGAACAATTTAGTCTTTCTTGACCTACTACTTGCATCCAAAATAGCCAAGGAATCAGGGCAGTCATGTGAAAAGGAAAATCTCCCAGATCATTCTGCAAAGAATTAATAGCTCCTGACTGAATCTTTGCAGCCAGATTCTTAGATGAATCATATTTTTCATAAGACGAGTCAATTCTTGACTACCTGAAATACATCAAAGAACTGATGCTCTTGTTTCGCCCCTTTTATACTCAAGGCAGAATACTCTGAAAGGCTACATAGCAACACCTAAAAGGCATTGGAATTAATGTGGAATAAGGATGGGGTAGACAGAAAGATATATATTTTTTGGAGAAGATAATGATGCTAACTTACACAACTCAAAACCCAAACTGGATTCTGGAGAAGAACGATAAAGACAAAGACTCTGGACCAGGCACAAAGAAGTTTGCAAGTTCTGTGCTATAGAAAAATAAACAGCTGATATATCGGCAGAAGTCCCTCAAAAAGAAGTGGAAAGTCATGGCTGAGTATTTAGAGAATTGTCTTTGAAAAAATGAAGGCAGAATAAAAGATTAGCCTGGGCTCTAAAAACAAGACTCCAAAGGCCAAATATTGCTCTAGTCTAGACAATGTATTTGTGTTTCAACAAAATTAAGAGAACAAAATCATGTTATAGGACTCCAGGTCTAAGGCAGATTAAAATACACACCTCAGGGATCTCTTATATGCTATACTTCCAACACATTCTACTTTGAGGCCTTGCTTACACACAAAAAACTTGTACCCATTTACCTAAAACAATTTAGAAACTCAAGTTTGTGAAAAAAAAAAAAAACCATCAGTGTCACTTCATTATGAAAACAAAAGGAAAAACTATGTAGCACTTTAAAGACTAACAAGATGGTTTAATAGGTGATGAGCTTTCGTGGGCCAGACCCACTTCCTCAGATCGTGGGTCTGGCCCACGAACGCTCATCACCTATTAAACCATCTTGTTAGTCTTTAAAATGCTACATAGTTTTTCCTTTTGTTTTAGCAAGTTCAGACTAACTCGGCTACCTCTCTATTACTATACTTCATTGTGAAGATACTCTTACTCCTGTTTAAAGTGTTTTATATAGAGTTGGCTTAAATTAGTAAGGAATTGATGCCTTTGATGTCAACAGCAGCAGTAATGATTACCTAAGGTAGATGCCAGAGATGCTAAAGCCTCAGCACTGACCTGTATCAGAGGTCTGCCTGAAGCCACGGAGACATGTTGCATCTTTTTGTTCTGATTTCAGCCAAGGAAACCTGAAGCAATGTTAAGCTAGAATCCAGAGCTTCAAGAAAATTAAATATGTAGATATTTCTCTTTGCCAGCTAGGACCTTCGGATATAACAGAGTGCACTGGCTAGGCAAAGAAGTCACAAGATGCTCCTCGGACTGTGGAGCAGAGTGACTAACAATGGAAATAATGTCTAGACTAACAGAATAATTACATACTCAATGTCTTATGATTTATCAAGGGAGAAGAGGAAAAACTACACTGCAGGATAAAACATGGTAAAAATCTCATTCTCCAAATCCCCCAAACTAACAAATATGAAACAAAACACATAAAAATGCAAGCAGAGACAAATTGACAGACCAACAGCTCCCTGAGTTTGACACAGAAAATAAGAGTGAGGGCAGGTCACAAAACAGAGTTATTTTATGCATTCTAGTGGTGCAACATGCTGCACTTCTGAGTGGAAGCACAGTCTCCAGTGAATGTAAGGAAACACAAGTCTTGTAATCCAGAAAAAATAGCTTGTGCTGAATGACCAAAGAGAACCATTAGGTTGAGGGTACATATTTTTGTACTTGTTGTGCACCAATTTCTGCAACATAAATTGCTCCAGTCTTCACATTTATATCCACTAGATGTGGCTTGACCTCATCAGCAAGCTGGATTGTGTTTACCACATTGCAATCTCTAATGGAGCCTATTGGTGGTGCCGCCAAAATAGACACTCTGTTAATATTCAGCTGAACTACAATCAGATATTCCTCACTGGCAGTTAATCTGAAAACAAACAATTAAATAAATTAGAATTAACATATCCTTAGAACACTTCATGTTAACACTGCTATGTGCTTTCAAAAATTATTATCCATATCTAGGTGAGCAAACAGCATTCACATGCAGTGTAGGCGATCAGCTATCTAACTTTTAGATCTGGTCCTGCAAATCTGAGTTTTAGGGTACCCTCATGGGTAACCCATGTGTCAGTCACTTGAAGTCGAAATGTTGAACTTTCCAAATCAAATGAAAATGATCTGACCGTTTTTAGTCTTATACTGCTGTAGAATATACAGAGTAAGTATACAGGACTTGCACTACATGCTGTGGCTGCTCCTTCGAGCTACAGATTTTAGGATAACAGTAAATGAATGCAAACTGAATTTAGGGCATAGCTTTTGTACATCTGAGAAAGGGTGCTACAACAGGCTCCTAATTATGTTCCCTAAAGTTTATGAAACTCACAGCTTTTAATTAAAATGAAAGTCCAATGCACCAGTCAACTCTACATAGGCAGCTCCTATGTAGTCATGTGACTACAAGGATTAATTTTTACAGGGCCTATTGCAGGATTGTGTGTCAGGCCCTAATTCCACAGCAATTCCACTTGCTAATTCCAGAGCCTGAAATCAAGCATCTGCTATCAATTTAAAGTAGTATGGACTCTTACAGGAGAAAATGTAGTACAGTAAAATCTGTGTTATCTGGCACGCTCAGGGAATCGGGCATTCTGGTTATCTAAATTCCGGGACATCAACCTAAGCGCGATCTGGTGAGACGCTATGAAACTAGTAGGTCTCAGGCTCCATCTGGGGAGATGCTCTGGAAGCTTCCGAAAAGGTCAAGCACAGTGGTGTGCAACCTTTTTGGAGCTGCAACCCCTGTGCTGCAGGGGCTGCCAAGCCCCTAGGAAATTTGCCAGTTTCTAAAGTTTTCTGGATAGTTAAGTGCCAGACAGCACATGTTTTACTGTATTCTGTTTCCTTTTAAATGTTTTTGTGGAAATATATAGTTACAATACCTGACAGAAGAGGGACCATCTTCTTCAAAACAACTTTTCAGGGATCCCAGCCATTCTCCTGTGACTTTATCAAAAACCTGTATTCTTTTATTTCCTCGGTCAGCAACCCACACCTGTTGTACACAATAAATACAGTTGGCTATAAACGGCTATGTGAAAAGCATCAGTTCCTCATACACAGGCCAAATATAGTGAAGAAGAAAGGGTTACATCAGGAACAAATTTGGCTCTGCTTTCATTTTACAAAATGGACTAATCAGGTATTAATTCTCAGACCTCCTCCCTCAAAAAAAATTCTTAATCACTGAGGGCATGTCTACATTGCAGGGCAAAAGTCGAATTAAGATATGCCACTTCAGCTACATCAACTGAGTAGCTGAAGTTAAAATAGCTTAATTCGGCTTTTGGCACGGTCTACACAGCAAGAAGTCGAAGAAAGAACACTCTTCCTTTCATTTCCCTTACTCTTTGTGAAATGGGGATTACAGGAGTTGGGAGTAAGAAGTCCTCCATCTTGCCATTATTTTGAAAGAATGGCTTGCTGCGTAGATGTACATTTTGTTATTTCAAAATAACATCAATTATTCTGAAATAACGCTGCTGTGTAGATGTACCTGAAGAGATAATCTACATTCATTCCTATATTTGCTTTCTACAACCAGCTCTCTGTACAACTTTTCATGAGGGATGTACAGGAATACCTGTACTCATATTCAATATTAAGTATGATGTAACTAAATTAACAACTGCTTCTTTTTCAACTAAGCTAAGTGATGAGCAGGGTCTAGGAGGTCTGCATCTGTAGACATGCGTGTGCAATAATACTTCAAAAACTGGCTGGCATAGGGAATTGTGGGTATTGGTTATCTTCAAGATGTCCCTTGTTTAATCAGAAATGTGTGAAATAGATTTTTTCTGTGGACTGTAAGGGTGTGTCTAAACAGCAAAGATATTTTGGAATAACAGCCATTATTCCAAATAATTATGCAAGCATCTACACAGTAATTCCGTTATTTCAAAATAATTTCAAAATAACAGACAGCTTATTCCAACTTCTGTAAACCTCATTCTATGAAGTATAACGCCTATTCTGAAATAGCTATTTTGAAATAAGGCATGCATAGATGTTTCACTTCAGCTATTTTGAAATAGCCCCTCACCAGGACCATTCTAAGTTATTCCTTCTGGGGCACTAATTCAAGATATCATGTCTACATTAGAGAAGACTGTCTCGGACTAATTTTGAGGCTTCCCTGCCGTGTAGATGAGCTATTTCGAAATAAGCTATTTTGGAGTAACTATTCTGGAATAGCTTATTCTGAAATAACTGTGCAGCGTAGATGTAGCCTTAATGGGTTGTAATAACGTACTACTAAAATTAAGGCATTACATTTATTGCAGTCACTGGAAGAATGAAACTGTTTTGTTATAGACAATCATATCCATCAGAGTCAATTCTCCCATTTTGCAGATTCTGTGCATCTTATGGAAACAGAATGGCAATGACAACATATTATGGGGACTTCCTTCTTCCTGCCTCCATGTAGTGCAAATCCTTTAACGGTCTATAGTAGTAGCCTCCTCCTGGGGACTGTAAGAAGTCAATGAACATATGTACGTGAAGACTGGTCAAGACCCTCTCTTACTATTCCAGCCACTTCTAGAAAAAGTTTCCAATGTGAAAAAGTTAAGACGACTGCTCCCATGCTTAAAATTGTATGCAGTAGATTAGATCTAAAAATTAAATATGAAAGAATGGCACTTTTAAAGGGGTTTTTTTTGGCAAAGGACATTAAATAGCAAAAATACATTTATACATATATGGGAGAAGGCATAAAAACGGTCTCTAAACCATTAAAAATAGAGAGTTTTAATTCTTTACCCGTCCAAAAGAATCCACTGTGACACTGTGAGGAATGTTGAACTGACCAACACCTGTACCATTTTCCCCACGCAGCCATATCTCATTGAAATCTAATAGCAGAAATCATGATAAATAATGAAAAAATAGTTTTCACTTTTATTATGCAGTATGAATGAGTGAAATTTTTTTGTCTTAAATTCCTTCTAAATTATTCATAGCAATAGAAGTATAAGTTATTTTTATAAGACAGGCCTTTAAACTAGCAGGATTTAAACACAATCTCCAGGAGATAGTCCCAATGACCTTACTCCTAATTTCAAACGTTACTATTTATAAGGAAACAATTCTATTTGTGGTCACTATTTTTTCCATGTAGGATATGTTTGTTTTTCATTTTATTAATGCATTTGGTGTCTGCGTATGTTAAAGAGAAAGCTACTGTATCAAACAGAGAGAAAGGGGGGAAGCATCTCTCTCCAAATCATGCTAGAGACAGCGAATTTTTTAAACTAGAATAAAATACAATGCTTAGATGTATCTGTCTATTGCTCACAATAAATGGAAAAATATAACTGGCTATATACAAAGGTCTACTTTTGCAGAAAAACAAAGTTCATGGTCATGACAATGTATTGGTTTCTTTAAAGATTTGTTTCTTCAAAATAGAATAATAGTTTTAAGATGCATGAATGATAGAAGTATGACCTACAGCAGGGCTACTAAACACATGGCCCGTAGGCCACATGCGGCCTGCGGTGCGGTTTGGGTTTACACGGGACTCAACATGTGGCCTGCGGGTGGGATCCTTTGAATACGGCCTCCACTGGGAACACACTCCACAGCAGTGAGGCGTGTCCCAGGAGGAGTGAGCAATGAAAGATGCAAGCAGACAGGCTGGCTGCAACAGATGGGTACAGAGTGTCGGCATTTCTAGCCCACAGGGAGGAGGTGCTGGGAGCACCGGGGCATTGTGGAAAGTGCTTTGTATTTATCCCTGTCAGTGTGAAAGAAGCTATTTGCATATATTTGCAACCACACTTACGTTGTGTCCCTCGGCATGTGCTATGAGTATCATTGTGGCCCCCGGGGCTTCCAAAGTTGAGTAGCCCTACCTACAGAGTGAAAGCTCCTAGTAAGCCTCTGACACAAATCCTAGCAAGCAACCCTCCTGGCCATGAGATGGAGTGCTCTGAGGGGGAATCCAAGGCTCTGCTGCCCTAGAGACATGAAGGGCATTTAAGTTTCTGAAGCTCCAGCAGGCTGCAACAGTTATTTCTCCCTTAGCTTCTCTGGCACATTTCTAGGGCACTGACTCTCAGTCTGCCATCCTTCTTCTTTAGTACTAGATGTTAGCGTATATCATTTAAATGATTAACTCATAAGCCAGGATTTATTGGTTAATCCTAATGACCACGTGCATTCCCCACCTTGCTGCCTCTGATACAGAGGCAGCAAGGCCGGGGAGGCGGGAGTTGGTGCCCATGGGGAAACATCTTTTAAGCTGGCTCTCTGCACAGCAACCTGCTCCCCTCCCTTGCTGCCTCCCACAGAGGCAGAGGGAGGAGGAGGTGGGATCAAGTGCTCAGGGCACTGGCATCATGGAGCCACCTCTCTGCTCCCACTGCTGCCTCTGTATCAGAGGCAGCAGCACCGGGGGTGGGCAGGCAGGATGTTGGCACAGCTTCTGTCCACAGAGAGCTCAGCCCTACCCCAACCCCCATGGACAGGGTCTACTGTCATGGACATAGGCTATTCCATAGGATGCTGGTGCAGCCTCTGTCTGCAGGGAACTCGGGGCCCTCATGGACAAAAGCTGCTACTACCTCATGCTGCTGCCTCTGTATCAGAGGCAGCAATGCAGGATGGCAGGCGGGAGCCAGTCTATGCAGGGACATCCCCATTTAGTACACCCTGTCAGTACTATTGCTGATCTCTGAATTACTAGAATACAACTTTCTCCCAGAACTCCACTCCTAAGCCTGAAGCTTTTGGAGCACAGATTAATTCTTTCGGGGACATGCAGCAATTGTGAAGCAGTCAACACACACTCAGATACTTTGCACAGAGTAAAGATGTAAATGGTTAACCGGTTAACTGGTAAGCCTCACCCTTAATGGCTCCAGCCAGATCGAAGCAGTCCCCGTCCGCCACAGGCACTTCAGCCAAACTAGGCTGGAGCAGCCCTCTTGCCGCCCCGTTTAATCAGGTTTAACCAGTTAACTAATTAAAACAGGATTTTACATCCCTAGTACAGACTAACACATTAATACTCATTTATACTTACTCATGTCAAGCAAGCACAGGATAGTACAAATAATTCAAAACAATGTTATAGCTAGGGATGTTAAACATCGACTAACTGGCTAATTGAATAGTCCTTGCATTGACTATTCGATTAGTTGATGGGGTATCTCCAACTTTGAAGTGTAGCAACAGCCCTAGAGCTGTTGCTACACTTCAAAGATGAAAGTGCCACGTGGAGCCCAGGGTCAGCTGGGGACTCCCCTGATGACCCTAGGCTCTGTGTGGCGCTGCTGCTTTCAAACGCCACATGCAGCCTGGGGACACCCCAGCTGGTCCCGGGCTGCACGTGGCATTTCAAAGTAGCAGCGCTGCGTGGAGCCCAGGGTCTGGCCCCAGGGCTCCAAGCGGCACTGCTGCTTTGAAGTACCTCCTTCTCTTCCCCACTGCCTTGCTGCCTCTGTCTGATAGAGGCAGCAAGCGGGGAGAAGCGACTAGTCAACTAATGATTGACATCCCTAGTTATAACGCATGCGTTTTACCATATCATCCTTTGCTTGGGAATCTTTATGGGCCAGTTGTATCTAGACGGGCAGGATATGTTGGCCACTAGCTCATGTTGGCTGTTACCTACTGGGTGAGGTGTCTCTCCTGGAGCTTCTCACCCAGCTTTTTTGACATTGCTTGTCTCCTGTATTCCTCTTCCTCTCTCCCTATACATCTACGGATTCTCTTATTTAAATCCTTCCTGGTCAAGTGGCTGCCTTTGTTTTGCTTCTCTGTCCACTGCTCTTACTGTCTCCCATTCCTTCAGAAAAATCAGCTAGTCTGATCTTCAATACAACTCATGCAGTGTTCCCAGATATTTGCACCTGAACAGGCTCACTGTGTCCTAAGCACCTCCTGCTGTATCTATCTGGTATGCATCTGCTACAGGCCCTGTCAGCAATGGTGAATCCAATAGGTATAGGCATTCGTGATTAGGGATGTAGTCGACTATCAGATAAGCCTAGGCTGATAAGCTTATCAGGTAGTTGAGTGATTCAGCTACTTGCTTCTCCCACCCCCTTACTGCCTCTGTATCAGGGGCAGCAAGGGGAGAGGAAGCAGGAGTTGATGCTAGGGGGAGCCAGCTTAAAAGCCGATTCCTCCGGCACCATCTCCATAGTGTGCAGTGCGGGCGGGTGGTGGTGGTGGGGAGGGTGGAGGGAGAGAGAGAGGTGTATCAAAGGAGGCAGAGCAGCAGCGGTCCAGGAGCTGGCCTGCACTGGCTCTGGGAGCTACTCCAGCTGCAGCTCTGTGTTTTAAATGTAGTAAAAGCCAGGTGGCCCTTTCTACATTTAAAATGCAGAGCCACTGTGGTCCCAGTATGGTCTGCACACCTGACTCCTACTACATTTAAATTGCACAGTCGCAGTGGGGGTAGCTCTTGAACCCAGTGAGAGCTGGGACAGAGCACCTCCCCTTATCGACTAATTGCATAGTCGATAAAAATTGTATTGATTACTCAATTAGCCAATTAGTCGTTTTTTAACATCCTTACATGTGATATAGCAGCTCTTCATAATACAACTTCAGAATATCAACCAGAATTCATAAGTTGAATTGAGATAGCCCTAATTCATCACAGACCCAATTCTTTAACACGTACACATGTTTAACTTTAAGTATGTGAATATTCACATTGAAGACACTGGGACTACTCACATGCTGGGGTCTTAATCTTACCAATACAAAGAGAATACAGGCAAGGGTTAAAATAGCAGTGACAGATATAGATAATCAATGGACAATTTGTCAAAAAACGTTAATGTGCATAAGATCAGCTACACAGTTAGCAATGCTGAAATTTAAAACTAGTACTATTAGGCCTCTAACATTTCAGACATCAGCTCTCATGTTTGTGCTCTTTCTACGTACCTTGGGACAATTTGAATAATCTGTTGTTCATTCCTCCATCTCCATCCACAATGTAGATCTCTCCCGTTTGCTCCACAAATATTTCTGCTGGCTGATCAAACTGCAGTGGATTCAAACCCGAGCCAGCTTTTCCTGGAGTACCCAGGACTTGAATAAGTTTACCTGAAGAACTGTACTGTTTAACTGTGTGCCCATACTGCCCTGTATTTAAAAAAGCAGACTTTTCTCAGTAAAACTATGGATCTTTGATGTCAAAATAGTAATAAGATAAAAATTCATTGTTACTTAAAGAATAATGAAACAGAACTAAGTAAACTCAGTAGTGAGAAAATAATTGCAGTTTAGAGAGGCATCACACATACGTATGCACAGGACTGGACCCAACAGGATGGGACAGAGGACAAAAATAAAGCATAGAGTTGCATGTTTCTTGGCTCTGCTCCTCAAGTAAGAGATATAAATGTTGGCCACAATTATCAGCTGTGGCAAATGGGCAAATGGCACAACTCATGAGCCTTCAAATTGTTCTACCTTGTACTGGAAAACTGGATCAGCACACAATTAGGATTGGGAGAGCATGAATCTGGCTTAGTGTTCTTTTGATACCTTATTTAATCAAACCATTGCAAAGTACTGTTCAGAGAGATACCTGCAAAAAAGAATATTTTCTCAGTGGCATAATATTTTTACCATGTTCCCATTATACATACCAGTTCCAACATCTGTGATCCATACTGAGCTCTCTGTAGGACTGTTGATTGCAAAGATACCATGTGGCATTTCAAGTGTGGAGTTCCATGCATACAAGAAGTATCCTTCATCTGAAAACACTAATACCTTTGGTACATTATCCCCTCTCTGAAAGTGTACACAAAAAGGGAAAATTGAAAACATGGTCTTTCATCAAGCATAAAATATTAACTTTGATAAATTTGTTTAAATGTTAGTAATTTTTATGTAATTTTTTTTATAAACATTAATAATTCTCACACACATATCCGAAGGGAGAGAGATATGGACCTCTGCCCAAGAGAAACGTTGGCTGAGGAGCCATAGACCTAGAATAGTGCTCCTGAGGGAGCATTAAAGGATGCAACTGCCCAGGACAGTGACATATGTGATGGCAGCATATGTGGGATTTATGTCAATGTGAACTGCCATAAGTGCCAACAACAGTGAAAGCAAGTACCATAGTAGGGAAAACCAGAGTGAAGTCTCACAGTCTTTTGTGGAAAGGAATAGTGAAAAGAGCCAAGCACAAATGAATTACGAATAGCTGAAGAAATGTCAGCTGGCTGAGCTACACAGAGAAAGGCAGCTCAACACTGAGGACCAAAGGCACAACTAGTAGGTGTGGCTTGCTGTATGTTCATGAGAAGTAGGAAGTTCAAGTTGGTAGGGACCATTCAGCTCACTGGCACAGGGTCTAGCAGACAGGGGAAATCTTGGAGCTAACTATTTGGATGAAGCATGGAAGAGGCTGACACAGGCAACCAAATCCCTTACTGCAACTGGGATCCTGGACAAGCCCAGATGCTGACCAAGAGAGGTTACAGCTGGATAGGGACTGTTTGTATCTGGAAACCCATGTGCTCACCGACCAGGAACAGAAGCATGAGCATGAAAAGTAGAGATGTCAGCACAAGCATGCAGGGAAGGAGAAGTACTGTCAACATCAATTCAAGATGGAGACTGTGAAAGCAGGACAAGTTAAAGAACATAAGATCAAAAAAGAGAAACTGCACCACTATGGTCTGGTAAGTGGAGCCACTCACTAGTCTGTCTGTCCTGGTAAAACAAAGACTCCAAATTACTTCATCGCTTCAGGAAAGGGGATGACATGGATGTACTTTTAAATGCTTTTGAATCATAGGGTTGGAAGAGACCTCAGGAGGTCATCAAGTCCAATCCCCTCCTAAAAGCAGGAATAATCCCAACTAAATAATCCCATCCAGGGCTTTATGAAGATGGGACTTAAAAATCTCTGGGGATGGAGATTCCACTACCTCCCTAAGTAACCCATTCTAGTGCTTCACCACCCTGCTAGTGAAACAGTTTTTTCTAATATGCAACCTACATCTCCCTCCCTGCAACTTGAGATCATTGCTCCTTGTTCTGTCATCTTCACAACTGAGAACAGCCTCTCTCCATCATCTTTAGAACCCTGCTTTAGGTAATTAAAGGTTGCTATCAAATCCCGCCCCCCTTACTCTTCTCTTCTGTAAACTAAATAAGACCAAATCCCTCTTAAGTCATGTGTTCCAGCGCTCTAATCATTTTGGGTACGTCTAAACTACATGGCTCCGTCGACAGAGCCATGTAGATTTGTTGTTTTGGCAAAGTCAAATGAAGCCGCGATTTAAATGATCGCGGCTTCATTTAAATTTACATGGCTGCCACGCTGAGCTGACAAACAGCTGATCAGCTGTTTGTCCGCTCAGC